GCCACGACATCATGCTGCTCCAACAGGTGTCCCTGTCGCGACCGTGGGAGGGTGAATACGGGAAAATGATGACGATCCGGGCCGAGGTGGCGACAGAGTTGAACCGTATGCCTGGATTTTCAATGGTGAAGAAGCCAGGCGCGCTGAAGACCAGGTTCAAATACCTGTTGGTAAAGCACGAGAAGGGCAAGTATGCTGCGAAGCGAAACTGGAAGGCGTCGAGAATTCGGGAGTGATTATGCGCCAATTGGCCATGGCAGAGCTTGAAATGTCTGCCAAGAAGACCGAGGACGCTGAGATCACTCCGATTAAGCGGCGCAAGAAGTCGAAGAAACCAGCTCCTACCCTGGATATTGCGAGCCTTATGGGCATCATTCGTGAAGGCATTGAGGACAAGGAGCGGCGTGATGCGCAGCGTTTACAATATGATCATGAACAAGCTAATCGCCATGCTGAGCAGCTTGCTGCGCAACAACGTGTCTTGGTAGATTTAGTTGCAGCAAAAACAATTGGAATAAAAATATTTGAGTCCGATTAGGAATAATTTCACCTAATTCAAATTCAAAATAGTGATGTAGACGAACAATTAGGCTGTATATAGGAGTTTTGACGAGTCCATATGCTGCGGTCACCATACAAACAGTAGCGCGACAGAACCCCGTCTTCCTTCATCCTGTCCAGTATGCGGCTCATGGTGGAATCGTGGCGCCGCCCCTTTACCGGCCCGTACATGCTGATGATGATGCCGTCAGGAACGGTGATGCTCTTGACCTTCTGCTCGCGCCGACGGACGGCTGATGTACTGCTTCGTCCCATCAATGAACGCAACACAGGTGCGCAACCCTCTGAGCCCACTCTTCGACTCGATTGCACCGGCATAGGTTTCTACTGACATGGTTACAACAGACATACGTGTTAACACGTAGGGATTACATCGCTCTAAGTCTTGTGCAGAGCAGTTGCGGTCGCGCGGACGATGCGGCTGCAGGCCTCGACAGAACACCCGAATTCATCTGCAGGCAATAAGGGACACCAGCTCTCTATTGCGAAGGATGCGCGGTTGGGGCATTTTTGACCAGTAATGTAATCCGGATAATCTACAAGTTAACTCAAAACCTTTCCGAAAGTACTGATACTTTCGTCAAAGTTGAGATTTAGATCGGCCCGAAAGTTTGAAATTGCTTGGTTTTCAGTTCACTTCCACAAGTTGAATCTTAATTTCAGTTAAGATTCAACTTGTGGAACTGCTCTTACGAAAACTCTCTAATACCGGTACTTACGACTACTTTCGGGACAGCATTGAATATTAATACCAACCTTGGATACTATGGTTAATATAATATAATTGTTGAATTCAAAGCGTGGATGACATTTGGATGACTTGGATGAAGTTGTGGGATGAAACCTAAAGTAACGTTAGTGACCAAGCCTTACGTTGGCCCCGAGCGCCCGGGGGGCCGTCTGCGTTTTGTACATGGCTGCGTCTTTGTTGTTGCCGCTACTAGAGAATCCGTCGGCGCAGTCCTTCTTGGGCAGACCGTAGATGACAATTGAAGGCACTTGGCTACCCGAGCACTTTTGAAGGAGGTCGCTGATGGCGTCACCCCCGCGGTCCGTGTACCACGTAGCGACGGCATTCTTGCTGAGTTCGTTGAGGGCGCCTTGTAGTTTTGGGTTGGATGAGGCTGCTTGCGTCCAGGAGTTGGGTGTCAGGGCGTTGCAGATGCTAGCAGCATGGATCGACTCGACCAGGGCCAGAGTGAATAAAGGCACTGTTATCGGCCGAGCCTTTGTTCGACTCCCCGTGCATGAGTGTGGGTAGCCGAAATGTTGGTCACGCATGACATTTGAAGAGTGTGACATATGACCTGGAACAAGTAGGTCGAGGCCCACGGGTGTGAAGAGTGCGATGCTCTTGCTCAGGACGGCGCACATATACGCCACTAGATGGGATAGAGTGTTATCGGCCGAGCCTCTGTTCAACTCCCCGTGCCTGAGTGTGGGTAGCCGAATGTTGGTCACACACGACATTTGAAGAGTGTGACATATGACCTGGATCTGGAGAGGCATATGTTCTAGCTGATGGTACACTGTACGATGCATGACTTGTAGAGAGTAGTGAAGTGAAAGAAGGGAACTGACTGATTGACTGGATAATGAAGTTACTTTTGGATTTGTCATCGAGGTCACCGTTGTGAACACGGTAATCGTCGGTTGCGAACACCGGCGCAAGACAACAAAGAATTCTTTAGCTGTCTTACAGACACGCTAGCGACTGAACGCATGGAGTTTCCTGCAACAAGAAACGAGCATGCCTTGGACGTGGAGCTACCTGGTAGCGACCACGGGGACTCTGTCGGAGCTCGATCCCGGTCGGATCGCTCGACGAGTCCTGCGGCCCGTGCACCGAGCGTGGACCGCTTTGAAGACCGTGGAAGGCCCCGGACCAGTGCGACTGCGCGGCGGCTGTTCCGGTCACCACAAGGAAGGCGACAACCGGTGGCGGTTGATGAGGCCTGGAGTTACGGGAGACCTGCGACGTTTGCGGCTCCCGAGTTTGGCGGCACATCTGGGACGATCCGTGAGGGCGTGTAACGAACCTGCGACGAAGCAACGTATTGCCGAATGGGACATGGGAAAAGATCCTGATGACGTGTCCGAGGGCGAATGGATTGCGTGGTTCAAGCGGGGTTTCGACGTCGATTCCCGGGCCCTGGACACCCTGAAGAAGCGGATCAAATCTGCTGTTGTTTTTGATATGTCGGTCCCGGACGCGGATTCCCGGATCGGACGTATGCTGGATGGTTTGGCTGTGGCTATCCGTCGGGACCGCCAGGAGTGGGTGATCCGGGAAGAGAGCCAGGCGATCGTGAAGATCATCACGGACGCCGTCAAGCCTGCATCGTTACACCGTGCTGTTACCGAGCAGATGGCGTTGGCGCGAAACAAGCCTTTTAACAGACGTTGGCACACAAAACACACAGATGTAGGGGTAGTGGCTCAAAGGAAGGTGGTTTCAGAAGTGAGCTTAGCTCTAGAACCTCCATAATTATCATCGCCAAAGACATGCATACATGTCAGTAGTGCAACCTTAGCTGCACTTATTGAAGTTTGTCATATCTCTCAATATATGCAACCTTCAAGTAGTGTGTGTAGGATCAAAACAAGGTAGCTATTGGCCCTCGACACACTGAAGTAGTCGAGGGATGTGAAGCCTGGAGCTCTTCCAGCTTCAATCACATATATATAGCTTTAACTATGTAACTTCAATCCTTGTCTGCCTATGGCTAACACTGCCACTAAGAGCTCTCGGGTTTCACCATAGCTAGATCTTGCACACCCATCTTCGCCCTTAAGCATGCAAACTGTTGCTGAGCCAGTGGCTTAGTCAGTATGACTGCAATCATCTCTTTAGATGAGTAATAATTTAAGCTTATTTTCTTCCTTTCAAACAGTTCACGAGTGAAGAGTGTTCGAATATCAATATGCTTTGTACCCTTGTGGTTTCCTGGGTTTTTGACGCAATCAATTGCAGCACGGCTGTCGCACCAAACTGTAATTGGGCGGTTTAACTTTAAACCCATTTCACTCAAAAGTGC